GGCATATTCATACCATTGTCTTTTCAGCATAGTCACAAATGATATGAGTATACTTTTAACAGATTACCAAAAGATATATATGGATTTCATTTATGTAAAGTAGAAAGAGGGTTGAAATGAGAAACAAGCCTTGAGAGACACATGTGCCTCTGTGGCCTGCTTGTTAACAACTACCTTCAGGGACCTACGCCTGAGGAAAGACTTGATAATTGATAAAAACTCTTCTAGTGATTCCATAGCTAGAGAGCGTGTGCCATAATCCTCTATGCCACACCATGCCAAAGGCCTTTGGAGATGTATTTGTTGTCTAATACCTCACTGATTCTGTGAGTAGTGACAGTTAGAATATCAGTTGTGGACCAAGCCAATCAAAATCCATACTGCTTGTTGCTCAAGAAGCTGTCCCAATTGAGATGATCAACAACCTTCTTCTTGATTCTAACTTCAAAAAGATTGCTAATGATACTAAGGAGGCTAATGGATCTATACTGTAACAAAGAATGAACACTCTTGAAAACAGTGTATACATTTGACATCTTCCATAGACTTGTGAAAGATTTCTCCTTCAAATAACAGTTAAATAGATTTGCTAAGATCAGGGATAACTCAGGGTTAATATTCTTAATGACAACCACTGGAACCAGTAGCTTTCTTAGTCTCATGACCTCAGGACTTCCCAGGATACTGCTTAATTATAAGTTATTTCATATAAATATGCTTGGTAAAGATATAAAACATGAAAATACTACTCATAAAAACACATAGCTCTACTGACAATTAATGTCATAAAAATCCTTTTTTTTAATGTTTGAATTCATAGGAAAACCAAATTAATGTTTATCTTTTTTAATCTAAAAAGCAATTAGAGAAATTTATGTACAACATCTCACAAAATCTATTAGATTTGGAAAAAAAAATTTAAAAACAGGCATTAGGTCAATTTAAAAAAATGGATTTGCTGAAGTTAGAATTTATAAAAGAGACAAATATTTTTATATTATTAAATGTTGAAAATTACTGATCATCTAAATGTAGTGATTAATTTGAGGAAGGTTGAAGAATTATAATTACTATGCCTAAAAAATACGGTAGTAAATGAATAAAATAGGAAGAAGGTTTTTATAATTAAATTTGCAATCGATTTCAACCATAAAATCATTAAAATTAGAAATTTAAATTTATAGCCTCACCTTGGAGAAAATAATAGTAACAACTGTAAAACCTCTTAAATAATAAAAGTGTGTATATGAGGATGTACTGAAAAGCTCTTTTCACAACAAAGAAGATCTTTATAAAAACAAAAAATGTTTAGTCATTTGGTCAGATTTTAGAAAAATGGATCATCTCCAAAACTTTTCAGCACCTCATTGTATAGTATGGTAGTGTATGCGTGTGCATACATGCACAAAGTCTAACTGTATCTCCAATATATATTTTCACTCAGTAATAATAGATTTGTAGACAGTAATAAACAATCTTTTGGCAAATTTTCTTAGTTTCATGAATTGATTAGCTTCTCCTATAAATGGGTGACTAAATATTTCATCAATAAAAACTCATTTGCTACCATTTTTAAACATAATAATCCAATCATACAATCTCTGTTGGCTGTGGTAAAATATTATTTTCAAACTCTGCCAAGCATTTAAGGTGAATTTTTGCCTTTCTTTCTTACTCACTCTTCCACATTTATTTTTGCGATTTTTTTTTTTATCAAGCACACAGCAGTCACCTACATTTTAAATCTGTCAACCCATGGCACAAATTTGTGTCTGAAAAAATCTTTATTAAATGATTTAAACTTTGTATACTTTGCAGAATGGGGAGCATAAAACTGGATAGTTGGATAATAATGCCAATTATAAAGTGTTTATTTATATTCAGACTAATATTTTTTTTCTTTATAGTTATCAAAACATTTTGGCTATTGTGCCCTTCAGCCTTCTTCAGGTGTCTGCCAATCTGAGTAAATGTCAAGGAATTTTGAACCCTTTATTTATGTAAATGGTTTGTTTGTGATTTGGGAGAATATTGCTTGCTCTCTTTACCATCATTGTATTTATGAGATCTTTTTAGCTGATTTTCTTCTCTCTTTGAACAAAATGCAAAGATTTGTGTGTGACTGGCTAATCTTTTCATGCATTTAATTATTACTTAAAAAAAATCATCGTCACACTCCTTTTTACATAATCAACTGTTGCATTTGGCTTTTTGTCGAATGAAGTCTGTTCTTTGAACAATGGTTGCAGTGTTTTCATTTTAGTGGACAAAGTAATTAAGGCTTCTAATTTTTATGAGAGTCTATGAAACCAGACTAATTCTAAAAAAAATTTTGCATCTGTCTTTCTGAAAATTTCATTGTGCCATTTCAATGATTATATTAAGTAAATGCTATAAAGTTTGCAAACTGTGGGCAGCAGGGAACTAGTCTTTTATTCTATCAAAAATTAGCTTCCATATTAAAAAGAAATTGTATTTGGTGTGGGAAAAAAATTTCCAGAGTTTTTTTATGAAAAAAAATTATCTGCAATTTTGTTTTCATAAAGGAGTTCTAGGAATTTTTGCAAACACTTCATGAACTTTAATATTTCATGTTGAACAATTTCCACAGGATCAAAAGGTCAAACCTAATTTGCTGATTTCTAATTTAAAAAGGAGAAAAGGTAAAAGTACAAACTAATAAAAAATATAAATTAGCTGATGAAAATAATGATAACTCTTTCACACACAATTATTCCTTTTGAAATCATTAAATGTCTAAAGCAAAGAAAAATATTTAGGACCTTTTTGCTGTTTCGAATGAGTTAGACAGAATTTCCTTTGGTGTCAATTTGCCATCAGATGTGACAGTTCTGTTTTTATTCCACTACAAAAAAATCCACCCCTTTCATTGACAATATGAGCCCTAGTTTGGTTTACCTCAGCTAACCCAGCAAAATTATACAAGTAAACAAAAAGTTTAGTGTTGATAATCTAAATGTTTGTGCCATTTTAAATTCAAAATGGCAATAGAAAATGGCCTGAATTTCCCTAATACAAAAGCAGCATATTCCATATTTCAGTATAGTAACTTTTCTTACAGCTTTGGTATCAATCATTTTTCACCAAAATCATTTCATTATAAATAACTGTATTTTAAAATCAATTATAAAAATAAAGAATTGATAAGAACCCCCATATATTTAGTTTCACTTCTGTTGACTCATCTGAAGTATCCTTGCCTAATTTCCCCACTTAGAACTGAGTCCCTATTGAGTGATATGCATATAACCCCTTCTATGGTTTCTGCTATTATCTCTAACCTTGATCCTCACAAAGCATGTGGACCTGTAATAGTCCTTAAGAAATGTGCTCCAAAACTGGCTCCTTTTCTCTCTAAACTGTATAATAAACATGCTGCTTCTTGCTTCCCTGCTTCATGGAAGTCCTCATCTGCTGTTCCAGTCTTTATGCACTCTGGTGACCCTTCCAACTATTGGCAAATTACTTGAGGCTTTAATCAATGCCGAATTAGTTAAGCATCACACATCACAGGTCCTTCTTTCAGACAAGCAATATGGCTTTCATTTCTCTAGGTCAACTGCTGATGTATTAATGATTATTGTGGAAAAAGTCTATCAAGCTTTAGATAAAAATGGTGAAGCTCAGGCTATTGTTTTGGGCATCACAAAAGCATCTGACAGGTTTTGGCCTGCTGATCTTATAGTGTCTCCAGTTGAATTTTTTTAACTAATTCAGTCTTTCTTATCATATTGTGAAATAAGAATTGTTCTGAACAGCCACTCTTCTAGATCCTTCTGTACTAATGCAGGTGTCCCCCCCGACCCCAAGGGCTCTATCCTTGGTCCCATTTTTTTTTTAATTTTCATTAACGACTATCCTAATGACATTAGCTCTCAACTTGGTATCTATGCTGATGACACAACCATTTACTCTTATCTTGATACTAAGTCTGATCAGTTCGATAAGGTCAAATTGACAGCTAATCTCAGTCTGTTGTTAACTGCTCTCTCTTAATCATCTGAGAGACCCTTTCCATCAGCATTGCTGATGCTAACCTCCAGGAGAATGATTAATTGCACCTTCTCAGGTTAACATTCTCAGCTGACATGAAGTGGAAAGATTACATTGAATCCATTGCTAGATCAGCTGTTAAGAAAGTTGGTTCACTGTGTCATGCTAGACAATTTTTCTTTCTGGAATCTATCTTACATATAAGACTCTATAAGTCTACCATTTGCCCATTCAAAAGGAGAATCAGCAATACCATTGGTCCTGATCTGGCATCTTGGTTTCAGTTACTTTCCCACTGTCATAAAATTGCTTGCTTGTGCCTTTTCTATAAATACTTTCATGGTGATTGTTCAGATGAACTCATTATGGTACCTAGACTTTATGAATTTAAGCATAGTACTAGATAGGCAACAAGGCCCATCAATTTACAGTTGAATTTGTTAGATGTAACTGTAAGTTCTATGCTGAGAGTTTCTTTTCTTGCACTTCTTGCTTGTGGAACTCTCTTCTGGTTTCATGCTTTCCAGCCAACTTTGATCTTCAAAAATTTAAATTCAATCTTTATCTTCTGTCTTCTATTATTCCCACTCTTTCATAATGTTTTTTTAATTTTCATATTTGCGGTATTTCTAATTATAAATAAATAAAATAATTGATTTAAACAATGTCTACTCTTATTTTTTCTCCACTACCACATCAGAATGTCAAATTGAAAGAAAAAATTGTTTTTGGCCTTGTAAAAAAGATGGTCATTAAATTGATGTTCATTGTATTATTTTTTCCTGATTCTTTTTGAAGATGTTATTATTTTTATTTCTTTTGAATAAAAAAAAATTTGTCAATCGAAACTAAGATATTTGAGAAAAAAATATTTAAAACATTTTTTCAATAATTCTCTAAGAATTATCTACAGACTAAATCTTGTAAATATTTAGCATCATCCCTAATTTTAAAAATGAGTTGTTTTGTTTGGTATTTCTTTACAGAAAAGCTTAGAAACAACTGATCGCTTGTACAGAATGGGAGAACAATTAATTCAAGATGAACATTATGCAATGGACAGTATTAGACCAAAACATGCAGAACTTCAGCGCATACGAGATCAATATAAAAGGATGCTACGACAAAGAAAAGAAGTTTTATTTAAAGCAAGAGACCTACATGACAGAATAGATCGGGTAAGTATAACGCTTGTTATTTCTTTTTTTGATAGAAGTTTGCTAAAAATAGATTTTCATCATTAAAACACTTTGCAATAACACAGTGATTCCTTTTGACTTGATTCTGCATCTTGGTGTTTTTTATTAAAATGTTTTGGTTACTCTACTCTCAAAACCTTTTCCAGATAAGTTGTATCCAGTAACAAAAGAACAATATATGTCCACCCAGGATAAAATAAAAGGTTTCATTCAACATATCCTGAGGATTATCAAATGTGACTGGCATCTGAGGAAAATAGGGAAGCATTGTGATTGAAGATGCGAGTCAAAAAGAATCATTGTGTAATAACAACACCTTGTCTCAAAGAACACTCAAGATGAGAATAAAAAAAAATCAGGAAAGAATTATGTGTCAGTTTCTATGTTTTCTATATTTTTTTTATCTATACCTATAGCAGAATAAAAAACAATAGAAACTTTAACTTCTGAAAACACCTAAAGATTTTAGCCATTCTTCATTTGAGAATAATGTAAAGCATTTTTCTATTTTTTACTTTTGTTGAAATAATTCAACATGAATAAAAAAAAATATTTTCAGCAAATATTCTGTTTATAACATGGTTGTAAATGATTAATTAATTTTCTAAAATTAGATCCAATCCACCTTCCAAAACAGTTGTGGTTTAAATGGCAAAATAAGAATTGTTACTTTCTTGAAGAACACAGTGTACAGTAGACACCAACAAACAGATTATAATGAAAACAATTTACTTATCCTGGACAAAAATGAGGAAAACCTTGTGCACAAAAACCAATACTACCTTGCAGCAGTCAAAACAGAAAAAAAAAGGAAGAAAAACCTTTGGCTCATTTGAGTTTATATTATCTGCTTCCCACCCCTGACCTATCCCATCTCACCCCATTTTCCATGCATGCGCCATGTTCACCAATCACGACACATGTAGATCTGATCTTAAAAATCACTTCCCCCAATCCCAAGCCAGCAAATAGAAAACAAAAATAAAGACTACTACTCCTGGCCACCTTGAACCATTTCAAAGTCATGCATCCAGCATGACAGATATTACTCACTCTGTGACCTTTCTGGGGCCACAGGCTGAAACTCATCATCTCTCCTGTCACTGACTCAACAAACCTTTGTACATCCAGAAAATATCCTGTACTCTATCAACCAACATATTGTCAGTGCATGCTTGCTACTTTTCCCTTTCTCCATTGCAAAATACAGCTTGAATCAGTCAGTTTTACTCTAACCTCTTCCCCAATTCAAACAGACACAAATATTTTTCCCTCATGACATTGCAATTTCTTCAACTCTTTGTCCCTCAAACAACACACCCTGCCTACTCTTCTCTTTGAATTTTCAGGTTTTCCTTATCCTGATGAAAATATCTGTCTTCCTCTTTTCTGAGGGCACAAAACCTGCATATAGCTTTAGCCCAAATTTATCCACTCACCCAAGATCCCCTTAATAAGCATTTTTACAGATTATTTTATTCATATCCACTTCTTACTACTTACTATTGACTTCACTTACCCAAGCATGGCAGCTGAATCAGACAAGATTTCAATATCTTTGCTAAATTGATAACCTTTAACATGGCATGTATTTCAGCTACATTGATGAGATTACATTCATCCTTTTTTCTTAGCCATGTGACATCCTCTGTCTCAACATCACTTATCTTAAGAATAACACCCATCACCATGCTATACGATCCATCATCAAAACTGTCTCTTCAGTAACTTCTCCTTCCCAGCTCATACTAAATGCTCTTTTTTTAATATAACTGCCTGCAATTTGGAGCCGCCTTGCAATGGGATAATATCCTACTAATCTTCAACTTATAGAAAACAACTATTTCTTTAACCAATTTTCAATTTTCCTCTATATATAATTGTCTTCACTCATTTCTAAAAAGCTAAGATACATCCTCTGCCAAATATAATGACATGAAGCTGGTAACAAACACTTCACTTCTAGGCTCACTACTTTTTTTTTCTTTGTTTTTATTCATGTGATCTTATCTTCCTTGCTATTAAACAGTCTTATTTTGCTGCTTTCTCTATCTCTTCTTTTTTATTTAAACAAATCGAAGTTTAAATAAAAAAAATACTCTTGATCTCTCAAGAAACGATGCATATGGCAGACACATACAACCAAAACAGAATGAAAACTATTTACTTACCCATGTTTGAATGAGGATATATATAATCAATCCACCTCAGCAGCAACCAAAAGAATACATCTTTCTGCTAATTTCAGTTTATATTCATCCTCACACCTGACCCATCTTATCCCCTTTCTATCCATGAACCACATTTACCAAACTTTAGAAATCAAATCATCATAACTTTAATAATCAAATTACTTTTTCAGGTAATATCTCTAAACTTTTTTCTTTTTTTAATTTTTTTACATTTTATATAAAAAAAACTCAGAAGAAAAATAAGGTGCATTTTTTACTATATAAAAAATTTTCAAAATATTACTTTTTAATTTAACATATATCACAATGTATACTGACTTTAGACGACTATCAAATTCTGAATATAATATTGGATATATTGTATCCAATTAGTTTTTGAAATAAGTTTTGAAACAATATTAATATCTTCTGCTATGTCACTTTAGGATGTGGGCAATCATGGCTCACCACAATTTCCTCCTGTCCTTTGTAGCTCTTAATAAATTTTGTCTTTTTACACTATTCATTTACTCAAGCTCGCTAGGTAGGTTATGTGTTACCTATCCCTGTTGCCTTCAGTTAGTCCTGTGAGCATCAAAAGTTCCAAACCCTCTAGAAATTTCAACTATTGCTTCTTGATATTAAGTATTAATGTTTTTTTTGTTTCACATCTGGTTCATGATATTCTTAACATCCTTTCTGTCAAGTCTCTTCATCTCTGAGGAGATTGTCCAGCATTCACTGCTATATAGGAGGACCAATATTACATAACAGTTCAGAACTCTTTTCTTTCTAAAGAAATTTTCCTGTTTCTTAATACTTTGCTTAGCTTTTGGAAGGCAACTTTTGCTATCCAAATCCATCTTTGGGTTTCAGTGTTGCACTTTCTGTTCTCAGTTAAAACATTCTCCAGATATTTAAATTGTTATACTTGTTTGATTTTGGTATCATCAGTCTCTATTTGCATGTTAGGTGATACCTTTTCAAAACAACCATACATTCTGTCCTCTTGCAATGGATGTTTAGTCCTTTCTTCTTGCTTTCCTTCACTACTTTCTGTAGGAGTTCTTGTAGTTTGCTTTCTGTGTCTGATATCAACACTTTATCATCTGCATTGTTGTTAAGATTATGGATGCCAATAATGAATCCTCATAGGACTTCTAATTCTCTCAGAATTGCCTCACTGTATAAGTTGTATAAGTCTAATGAGGAGACAAATCCTTGTCATATACACCTTTCTATTTTTGTATATTTCTTTAATTCATTTTCTATCTGTATTTAGGCAGTTTGCTGCCAATATAGATTCTGGATTATTCTAATATCTTTCCCAAATATTTTAATATTACCTAGCAGTTCCAACAGTTTTTTGTGACATACTTTATCAAATGCTTTTGCATAAACTAAAACATAGGAACAGATCCTTCTGCATTTGTATTACTCTTTTTGATATCATTCTGAACATAAATATCACATTCCTTGTTCTATTTTGTTGTATGGCTCATTAGGCAGATTCATGTTTGTTTGCACCTGGCTTCTTAGACAGTGCTATGAAAATATGTCTTCTGGTATATCACTACTAAAATTTTATATATCAGAGTTATTTCCCTTGATTAAAGTTTAGGTTTTCAATTGAAGAATTTCTTGTTTTTTTAAATATCTTACATTCCAACCAAACATAAAACATATTTAAATCACTGACAATTTTTTACATTCCATTCTAAATATAAACATTGATAAAAAAAAAATGTTTTTACATTATTCTAAATTTATTCACTTTCTTATTTGTTTTCCCCAGGCGAATAAATGGTGTAACCGAGGTTTGGATTTATTAGCAAATCAACAGATTGAAAAATTTCAGACCCAAGGTGGAGCTGACAAAGCTAGCCATGAAATCAGAGAATTTTTGCAAAAAGCTCATAGTCTCAACCTAAGCAATCCTAGAGAATTCCGTAATTTATTTGAAGGTATCATGAATCCAGAAGTTAAAGTAAGTCCACACTTTCTTTGCAAACAATTTGTTGGTAATGTTTCAAAAATATTGCATTACATTCATTCAAACATTTACTTAAATTTATAAGTTCAAGAAAACACTTGGATTAAAATTTGATTTCCTATAAATTTCACTTGGTTAATTATGAATGCAATTGACAGCATTGAGTTGATGATAGAAAAACATTATCTCCTCCTCCAAATATGCACATACACAATTATTAGTTCTATTTAAATTAGTATCCAAGGCATGTTGGCATGTTTTGTAATTTTCTCTGTATAAAAGATTATTATATTTAATTGCAAATATACAAAAATTAAAAAAAATCAAAATTGATAAACATTTTTTTTTTTTTTTTTTTTTATGGGCTAGAGGAGCTTATTTTTTATTTTTTTATTTTTTTTGCTATAATAATTTACCTGGATAGTGTCAAAGTTGAAAAAAGAAAATAAAGCAAATACTTTGGAGGGTAAGAATAATAAGTTTTGTTTTTTGTAGCAATGCCAAGATTCTGATCTTCTAAGTCTCAAAAAAAAAAAAAAAAAGTAAAAAAAAATATATATAAACAACCAATAAACTTGTATTATTTGCTATTTTCTGTATTAAGCCTCATCAAGTGTTTTCTAAAATATAAATACTAAAAGGAAATAGCTTGTGCATTTATATCATAAGTTCATACCCTAATTTCAAAGTTGTTTCAGGGAAGAAAAAAGGGTAAATGTAGAATGTGGAAAAATGTTTTATTCAAGTATTATTTGCAATTTGGTCACAAAAAGCAGGTTCAAAATTATTCCTTGACATATCTTACAGAACAGAAATCAGCAATACAAGAAAAGATTTGAGTTTTCTCCCTTACATTAGAGATTTCTTCACTTTCATTAAATAAATGTTAACAGAGTTCGTACAATTATGCAGTATTGTATGCGTCAGGACTGGTGTTAAATAGAGGATAACATTTGTAGTGTTCATTTCTCCTCACAATGAAATCAGTCACAATGGTTAAAATTAACTAAGTGAGGAACTCAATTTAAAAGTTGTGACTGCCCAAAAGGAAAGCAATTTCAAATGCCAATTTGACCAATTCAAATCTTTATCAATTATATAAAAAATGTCCACACCTTATAAAAAAAGCTTGAAGGACAAAGATGGAAATGTAAAATATTACTTCTTGTGATAATAATATCAAGCTTTCAAATTGGCCTAGCCAGAGTCAAGACCATAACCTGTGGAGAGAGCTGAAGACAAAAAGTAATGATGAAGAAGCATTCTACGCTTAAGTATCTAGAGACTTTAGCAAAAAATTAGGTCAAAATCCCTGTTGAGAATTGTTGGAATCTGAAGTATGAGGATCAATTACAGTCTGTGATAGTCTAATAAAAGCTTTGCAACTGATTATCAATGTATAGATATGAATAATTTTGACTATGATTTTTGTGATCAAATAATATTTTAATGAGATAGTTTTCCCTTATATTCCTGTGGTGTCGTTTTCTTTCATAATTCTTTTGTCCTATGTCAATTTGGATCAGAAAAGTCCTTTAATCAAAATTTTAAAGAAAACAGTTTGCAAGAGCATGAATTTATTTGGGGGTTAACTAAATTGTTAAAAAAGATTATTGCTTTTAACAGTATGTATGCTATTTAATAAATAATAAGAGAAATCAATGTTATTGCTTTCAAATGTGTCCATATTAATGCCAATAATTTATACAATTTAATTTAAGCAGACAAAGTAACTTTTATAAGAAAGAGAATTAAATGAAGAAACATCTCCCACACAAATTTTTTTCTTAATACAATAAATCTTCAGAATATAAGTGATCCTGAATTTCTCCACATATTACTTTTCTTTACTATCTGTAAATTGCCATGCATTCTTGGAAATGATAGTGGAGTGGTTGCTTGTTGCTTTCTTCATGGTTTAGAATTCAGAATTTTCCTTCTTCTAGACTAGTTGCCAGCCAAGGTTAGAGAAGATTGGAAAACAGAAAAGATAGTTTTATACCTCTCCCTGACAATTACTTTATCTATGATCAATGTGTAGTATGTGTTTACTAAAAAAATGTATGAAGTAAATTTAGCTTAACTATCATACATAAAACTATTAAACATCTTTTGAAAGTAAACATTTTAATAAGACAAGTTGTAAAATGTTATATGGATGTTCACATTATAACTAGAATATTATCAATAGATTCTAACCAGTTTTAAAAATGAATTCCATAATGAATGATATCCAGGCTAAACTGGAGACGCTAGCCTGGGCTGGCATCCAGTTCAGGAAAAAAAACTGAAGTTAAACCAATAGGGCATAGGGTTACTATGAAGTGTGATAAAGACATTCCTTGCATTAAAGCTTGGTTTGACCTTTCACTGTAAATCTACCATCTGCATGGACGTGACTTTACTGCAGAGGATGCACCTGAATCTGCAACCCTTTACTCACCTAAGAGCAAAACACTTCTACACATGCTGTTCATTCTGGAAAGAATCCATCTTTGCTCTTTAGGATGGATAGCAACAAATGAATAATTCACTCAAAAATGAAATTATTGAAATATTTTTTTTTTTTTTTTTTTTTACTTTGTTACACTTCAATGTTGAATTGATATTTGTTTCTTTTTTGGGATTTTCAGGCAATCGTACAGGATTTACTCAAGCGTATGGATGAAGTACAAGGCATGTGTGAAAAAAGACTGAGCAGCTTGCAGAAGGTAACTAACAGTAAGACACGACCTGTCCAGTTAGTTCAACCAAAGCAGATAAAACAGTGTGTAACATCAGGCAGCAGCAGTCAGGGTAGCAGTAAGCGTACAGGGTCACCACAACCATCCCATGTTCGTTCTACTCCCACTACTTCCTCCTCTTCAGGAACTTCATCTCACAACAATGTGGGAGAGACAAAGAGTGTTAGAAAGAAGGCTTCTTCTGGACTAGAGATGTCAGCCAGGGTAGGAGAGATGGTTCAGTCATGACCATCGGACAGTTTTCTGTTTAAATCCACAATCACTTCTGTGTCACTTCCCAACAATTGTGCCTGTGCCTAACTTGCTTATCTTGTTCTTGTCAGTTCTAAAAGTTCTCCCCATCTTTGCTTATCCACTTTCCTCTTCTTGCATTCTTTTTTTTATCTTTCAATTTATTCAGAAAAAATTATTTTGATCTTGGATGCTTCAAAAAACAAAAAAAAACAAAAAAAACAATAAGTATGATGAAAATGCGAATCTAAAAGTTTTATTTTTTATAGAAGAATATTTTAAAGTTATTTTTGATAACATTTTTAAAAGTATGAAACTAGTTTTAAGTATGTAGTGTTGAATATCATTGTGTCCATAGTTTTGAAAATTTTGGAATCAAAACATATTTCACTAATCTAAATTTTCTGAAGTATTTATTCTGAATTATTCATAAAAAAGTTAAAAGAAAAAATAATGCCCCAAAATAATTTTATATCACATGTTCACTAGTAAGATTTATACTGAATTCTTAGATCATCTGAAAATTGAAACAGTGTTTCAGTTATCCGCATTCTTCATAAACTGCTTACACAGATATGGATACATTTATCTAAATTCACAGATCTTTGCTCTCTTTATGTAAGAATGGTGAATCAGATTATTACTTAAAAAATGAATATAAAACTGAAACCCGTTATATCTTTTTCAGCATTAAAATTTTAGTGCTTGAACATACATCAACATTATTTAAAAAAAACAAATAATATATATAATACTAAAAATCTGATTTTGTATGTCCTGCTGTAACCTTTGGTTAATTGAAATGATGTATTTAATTAAAGGGATCATAAATGTGATAAATTAAAAGAATGTAAAAAAAAATAATCATAATGATTTGCTAATGCTGTCAGGTCAGCATTTGCACTGAAATGATTAAAAAAAATTTTTAAAGGGGTCTGAAATGGTACATTGTAGCCAGAGATATTGAATTAAGGGACACCTGAAATGTTTTAAAAAATGCAAATAAATAAAAATGTTGGGTGATTTGCAACTGAATGATAATACTGTGAGGTATTCATTCATGCTCAACTGGAGAAAACTATTAAATGCTAATTAGTGCTTTATTTATTTATACAGGTTGAGACAAAAGTTGTGCTTGATTTCTGTTTGTCAGTTTGCATCAAGGTAGAAATCAATGAAAGCTGTTTAAAAAATAAAAAAATTACAAGACAAATATTAATAATAGAATCTGGACATTATTTTTAACTCACCCTGTATATTAATAAATAAAGAATTATTTCCTCTTTGGCATATACAAAAGGAGTTGGACTGAAAAGTTTTCAGTTCAACTCACTTCTTAAAATCTGACTAAATGATCAACAATCAGATTTTTTTTAAGGGTTGCTTGATTCAATTTTACAAATTGCATTGGGCTGAGAATTTCATTGATTTTTTTTTTATCCTATAAGACTTCTTTTTTTTTTTAATTCAATGCTCAGTGGAAAATTGTAGCAAAAAGAAATTTCAATCTTTATTTGTTTCTCATCTGCATTTGTGAGAATTTAAGGAAAAATGAAATTCATTACATTTTATCCACAAAGCTCAACAAATATTTCAAAGAGTTGACATTTATGAAAATTTGTTCATTTCCTTATAATGTATCAGAACATTAGGGTGCCATGTCAAATAAGTCCCTATCATAGCATCTTTCAGGGAAATAGGTGTTAGCTGGCAGTGCTTATCTCCTCTCAAAGTAGCATATGACAGGTTGTACTTGGTTACAGGGTACCAAAAGCAAGTAACAATCCCTGAACTGAAATTAAGTAAAAGAATTTTATAGCAATCAGATTGTTTTTGTCTTTCTTGTTAAAACCTTTATATTTTTCCACAAAGTGGCACACACACTTTGCAGTCTCAATTACTAGAAACTCATTGCAACCATTAGTGGCCATCAAATTTAAAAACTTTCTTTTTTAATATTTTCACCTTTATTTTTGTTAACTTTTCATTTTATTAAATGTTAAAAATTAGTGACCTGAGATTTATTTAACAAAAGTAAATTAAATGTGTAGAACTTAAGGAGATTCAATAGAAATTATTTTAATTCTAGAGAAAACCAGATTTATTGAGTTGGATGAGAATTCTTTTAGATGAGTAATTTAATGAATTACTTTTGAGAATTGGTTTATGTTTATTTAACATTGTGATACTTGATTTTTGACTGTACAGCTCTGAGAATATTCTACAAAATTAAAACCCTTATTTTGTTTGAATTTATCAAAAAATTAAGTCCTTTATTCATAAAGTTACAGTCAATATTATCAATGAGAACTAGTACTTTGTTTCTATGGTAAATATACTTTTTTTTTATCTGTTGGTAAATAGGCGATTTCTTAAGCTAAGAAGCATGATTGAATTTGAGTGAGACCTTCTCTTAAGCAATATTGTCCATTGCTTTGGATGACAGATTGCAAAACTTGGATATTGGAATAAGAAAGAATTTGAATGAGAAAGAGTGGCTTTTTAAGTTTGCATTTCTGAGAACATTTTATAAATTCATATTTGATAGTGATGGGGTTTGTTTAGTAAAAATAGCCTCTTCCTTATAAAGTAGTTTGTTTTTATTAATCTACTAAATTGAACAAATTGATAATTCCATGGTTAATTACAAACTAAAGTCATGTTTGCTACATTGGTTGCAATGAACTATTCTTCAAGTCTATCCTCTTTTTGCAACCCAATACTTTTATGAATAACTTTATATTTGTACAAGTTTGTCACTTATTTTCTTGCACTATTCAGATAATGCAGGTTAATCTCTTATGATTGGAGAAATTTAAAAAGCAAAAAAAACAACCCATTTGTATTTTATTGCAAACCTGATATCACTTTCTTTTTTTAAAGAATAACTTTAATTACTGTAAAGATCAGTTTAACTTTTAAATTGAGACACTTAAGAGATCAAAAATGAAAAATATCAAATCATTTTGCCATGACCAAACCTTTCTATTCTGAGTTCATCTTGAATGAATGAAGAATACAAAATTTCAAGTCTTGTTTGCAAAATCCTTACGACTGTTGCTTTTTGGTATTCATTACAAAACTTGACTATTTGCTTTTGTTAAGGTTTTTTTTTTTTTAGTACAGAATGAAATTAAGGATAATTTTTTTTTTTTAGATATATCTTGTGACCTTTTATAGATGGGTTGCTCTGAAAGTAATGTCTCTATTTTATTATGTCAATCCACAATGTCTGAGGTGGATGATGGTGGAATGGCAACAGAGTCTAAACATTCTTATTATTTTTGTGGGGAGGGAGGCAGCTTTGTTACAAACAGCAAGCTGGACAAAATTATGCCTGATGTGAAAATATATATAAAGTAGATGTGTGCCATGTAAAAAAAAAGATTTCATCCACTGACATTTGGTGAATATTTATAGAGACCAAATAGTGAATGAGAGTATAGTTAGGCAGTGAATAATGTGCTTCAACATTGATGACAATGTGTATGAAAAGCTACATTCTCATTGACCCTAGACAGCTGTAAACCCACAAAATGAAGAGCTTTTGTTCATCACTGGTGGTGAAAATGCCAACTCAGTGGTAGTGTCTATATAGAAAAATAGTATTTTGTAGCTGAAAACTTGTTCTATCCAATGTTATTATGCTTCCTGTATCTATTGTAGTTCCCATAGAAACAAAAAGGAAGCATTAGCATCCTTTATAAATAGAGGAGAACTGAAATGGGTTCATATATTGGGTGTATTTGAGCAGCAATTTATTATATATGCTTATTTGATTAAAAACCAAGAAAGTTCTTTGTTGATTATTTTTTTGCTTGCTTTTTCAATATTTCTAATAATTTTTTTGATTTCCAGTTGATATTTATAAATAAAACTTTCTATGTCTAAGCACTTTCAGCTGACACTAATCATTTTAAAAAATTCACACATTAATACGCAAAATTAGATATTTAAGAAAAATTAAACTGATGACATAAACAACAAAAGTCTTTGAAAATGGATACTGTTAGACATAAGAAGTTTTAATTGCAAATACCAACTGGAAATCAAAAACATTAGAAATATTGAAAATGTAAATAAAAAATAATCAACAAGAAACATTCATTGTTTTTTTTTTAATCAAGTGTACATATATATATGTTTCGTGGTTATGGAAAAGAAGATCTTTATGAACATTTTGCGACCAAGCTTACAATTTTACCATTTAAATATGAAAATAAGATTCGGTAAAAACGTTTTGTGTTTGTTTATAGCTTAAATAACATAAATGAATAATAATTTAAGAGAAGTTTATTATTTTCCATTTTTAATAATTTAAACTCACAAAATTCCTGATGTTTTATTTATGTTCTAAACAGTAAGATTCTCAAAGAAATTATTGAATATTTTTAAATTATAGAAATTCTCAAGTCTTTTCCAAATAAATATTAATCATGAAATCAATCTCATATTTTATTAATTTTTTTTTTCTCTCAAAACTTTAAAATATCACTTCTGTCCTGAGATATTTGACTTAGAGAAAAAAAAAATTACTTGTTCTAATATTCATATACAGAATATATATAAGGTGCGATGGAAAAATTGTCGTCTAAATTACACAAAAATAACACTGATATTTCATTTTAATAGATATATTTACCAAAATTGCACAAAAATATCTTGAAATACTAAAGTGTAAATTTATTAAATAAAATCAACATTTGCTTCAACCATGCCCTCCAGACGACTTCAGAATCTCCTGCAACTCTTCTGGACAGTCTCCTTGTTTAAGTTGGTGAATGTTGCCATAATCCATGCCTTCAGTTCATCTTTGGTGCTATGAGGAGTTTTGTTGGTCTCTTGTTCAACTGCACCCGACACATTTGCAGTCTGGGGAGTTAGGCTGCCAGATGTAAAAGGTGATGCGGTTGCAGAAATTGTCTGACAGTCATAAATGGGTTCTCCTGCTTGTGTGGCATGGTGCAGAGTCCTGTTGCCAGACAGAGTCTTCCAGCAGCCACCCTCTTGACCCAGGGCAGCACTACCTCCTCAAGGCACTTGATGTAGGGCTCCGTGTTGAATTTAAGGCCATGTGGGAAGATGATTGGATGCATATTGGAATTTCTGCTGTGAATGCCAAGCAGTAGAGCATACCATTTCCAAATTTCTGGTGGAGTGAATTGCATCATGGTGCTCTTTTTCTCGCAGATGGTGCCCAACTGACCCTACTATACTGTGCAGTTGACAAATTCAAAACAGACAATGCCCATACACAAAATGAAAAATATAAAATGCCAACAATTTACCTATCACACGCTGTGTGTGTGTGTATATATATATATATATATATAAACAAGTGAATCAGTCAACTTTTCTAAGGAACTTTTTATTGATTTCTGTTTTAAATTATTGCTGAAAATGTCTGGGAAACAAATTTAATTATAGGCATTACTGTCAGAGTTTGTTTTATTTATAGAATTAAACATACAATTGTCCAATACAATTTTGTCCCATTTTGTATAAATATTTTATAGCATTCAAGAGATAAGCCTAATTTATAAATTATTCTCTTCAATTGTGTTGTCACTGAAATCAAAATCTTTATATTCTTTTTCTTCCCACTTATTTTTCTTTCTTTGTTCTTGTCTGCTTGTAAATCATCACATCACAAATGTCTCTGCTTTCAATTTCACCTGGTTGTACCTTAATTTCCTTCTTCCATGTAATTAATACATGAAATCATCTAATGTCAGTTTCTTCAAATGTAGTCCAGCTTTTTGTATTCAAGACAATCATCAATGTCCTTCAGGTGAATATATACATAGGAATTTGATTGAAACCATGAATCTTTTAAGAGATGATCATTAAATAATAATTGTATTGATGAAGGAATAAAACAATGATTTTGTGCAAATCTCAACCTTGTATAACAAAAATTACTTGTTGGATTGTATTACACTGCTATACAAATTGCAAATTTGATACAAATATCATAAATCAATTGTAATTTTTTGTCCAACAATTTGATACTTAAAACTTGTAGTACTTACCTGATTGTATTGAAAAGAAAAGCAGATTTTTATTACAAGACGTAACTACCAAATATAAATATAGGAAAATCTCTTTGGTTGGGTTGGTCAACTGAAGGCCAAACAAGTCATTTTACTCTCAATCTGAATTTTTTCATTTCAAGAATCATTTGCTACTTTGAAAATGTTCTTACATTAATTTCTGTTCAGAAAAAATTGTTGTACAAAAAATTCATTTTCATAATTTACCATTAAATATTTGGATACCAGTAAAAACTTGTATAGGCTTACAGCCATATCACAGTGAAACACCAGTTCTTGTCCAATCACCGAAGTTAAGCAACATTGAACCTGGTCAGTACTTAGAGAGTGACTGTTCAGGAATACCAAGTGCTGTAAGCCCCTACCAACACCCATTGTGCCAGTGTGGTGTGGTAGGCTAATGGCCCATTCCTATCCATAAACAGCAAAGATGGAAAGATCTAGGGAAGACTTACATCCAACAAATGACTTTCACAGGCTGATTAAGAAGAGAACTTGCATTGATGTTCTTAAACTTAAATTCGAGAGCTTTTGGTTATAAATAAAAGGAAAAGATTTGGAAACAATAGTTGTAATTTATGATAATTAAAATAATCAATGAAGACTGATGCAAAAAAAAAAAAAAATTTAATTTTAACCTTTAATATTTTGCATTCCTTTCTTAAATAATAATTTCCTATTCACCATGTTTGGAAATTGCTGTTTTTCTTAAATATCCAAGCTTTTGTGTTCAGTATTTTTTTGTAATTCAAAGCCTATAGATAACCAGATTATTGTCACAGAATGTCTTTGGTATCAACTGAATCCTGCTTTTAACCTCTCTATATTAGGGCTGACCCTTCAAACTTTCTTTGCTTTGCAAACCCCTTTCACAGTCCAAACCACTTTTTTAATATTGTCTTTTCCTCATGGTTTTATTTTTCAGATTTAATGTTCTTTATAAAGAATACATTTTATTATCAAAGTTAGAAAACAACAAATATGTGGTATTCTGTTTTAATTTCTATTTTCTTGGCAAATATTTGTATCTTATTATTTACATTATTCATTGTTATCTTTATCAATGTTGTGAATATGGCAATGAAGATGAGGATAACAGTCCGAATAATGTAAATAATCATAATACCTCATCTCAGAGATATAGTCAGATATTGGTATCTTATTTGATAATTTGTTATATTCACTTTCATATTGGAAAAAATTTTATTTATCATACATCATAATTTTTTTTCTGAATTTATGAGATGAGGAATTATTATTGATAGACACTGATTTATTGAGATAGGCATCCTTATCATGGCTGTTATCACAATGTTTCAGACATTGTAACCTCTTGTTTTGTTCAGGTGGCTGTCATAGTTGATAACCTTTTAATTTGGGTCCAAAATTCCTAGAAAATTACCATATGTATTCTAGAACATCTAAAGCAGGCTGGAGTGTAACATCCAAAACATTATGAAAAATTGTGGCCAAGATGAGAACGCTGATCCCAGTAAATCTGTGTATAATTATTATACGTCATGCTTAAAAAAAAAGACTTTTACTCTGATATTAGACGTAAAATACCTGCTTCTTAGTTGAAGTTCTGTCCACCCCAATGCCCATTCTTAATGTAATACACCATCCTTTGTATGTAATTTTGATTTGCATGTTAATCATCTACCTGGTGAACCTCTGATCCTAGCTTCTATGCATTGAACCTTTCACTGGAATTAAAAGCTTTATAGGAAATAAGGAAAAATCACATTGAATAAAAATATTTTTATTTAGTTGTATTTACAAAAAATATTCCAAGTTATAGTCTGATAAAGTTTTCTTTATAAATAAACTAAATATTCTAAATATCTTCCATCTTAATTAATCATTTTGTTTTTATAAATTTTTATTATAAAAAATCTTATTCCTTAATTTGTGTTCCTAGTTTTTCTTTTCTAAAACCTACTGTTTGTTTATTTCACCCTAAGCAAGGCAATAAATCCACTAAGACACAAGATATTACAGAGTGTTAAAGAATATGAGAAAATATACTATTAAGGATAGAAGATAATAAAAGAAGACAAAAGATAATGATTAACATTTCATTTAAATTTTTGAAGATCAAAGTTGACAGAGAAGCCAGAAGATATTTCCACAAGCAAGAATTATGATAGAAGAAACTTTTAGCATAGGACTTACAGTTACATTGAGCCATTTCAATTCTGAAATGGTGAGACCTTGCCACCAATCTAGTACTGCATTTAAATTCATAAAGTCTAGGTACCATAGAGGAAAGTTTATCAGAAGTTATATATTTAAAAAAAATTTAAAACAGCTGTAAATGTGACTACCAATTTATTTGACTAATGATTTTCAGCTTATTTTACCAATATTTCTGTTTTTAAATTTAGTAAAGAAGAAAAAAAAGGAAACATTTCTCATATTTTTATTATAATTTAAAATATTTTGATTTCATTCAAATAGTGATATGCATTTTGCATTTTATATAAAATTATCCTAAGAATATATTTAGAAATTTTAAACTTTTACTGATATCACTCATCATTCAGATCAAACTGTTAAAATTGGAATTTGTCTCACAGTAAGCAAGTTTTGCTTAAGCAGCTGAACTTCACTATCACATACCATTTACTAAACTGTATCTGGAGAAGAGACTAATATTTAATTTAATTTACATTTACACTGATGTTCACCCTGTACAAGGCCCATGAGCCACTCAAGGTAGATGGTTACAGAGTAAGAGTTACCACTCCAAGCAAGGCAATAATGCCACCAAAATGCAAGGGGCTATCGGAAGTGAAAGAGCAGGAAAAATTTTTTTTAAAGGGAGCTGGAAACCCAATCCTAAACAGGAATCAAGGGACAAACCTCTACTCCTGTTTAAAAAACTGGGAAACGATGTGAACCAGACAATAGGCAATCCTATAAGCAGCATTCAGTTTAAGATTGTTTTGTAAAGCTTTGCTTTTCAAAACCCTATTTATTATTTTTTTTCTCATTATAAATTAATAGAAAATATTTCTGTATCATATTAGTAGATGAATATTTAATTCTTCCAGGTTTATTTGAATTTTTAATTTGAATATTTAATCATGTAGGAAAAAGGGAGGTAATTCTTGTGATTCATGTGAGCTTTGGTCTTTCTAATTTTATGTTGTGGTTATTAGAATTAAAAACATTTGTTTTTAGTTGATTATCTTTCTTGACAATATATTAAAAATTGCAAATTTGTCAAGTACATAAGAGAATAAACCAATCTGCATGTAACTCAATGTTCTGTTTATCTAGTTCTGTTTGTCTGTCATAATTGTTTTAATCTGTAAGAATTTTAAGAACATTGTTTCATACTATATACCTTATTATAGTTTTGCATTATTTTTTTGTAGATTGTATTTATATGATAAAATAATAGGGTATATGAATATTGATCTTAAGTAGAACAATGAATTATTAATTATATCATGTAAAGTGTTAATAAGTCTGTTGTAATATAGCATATTGAGAAAACACAATAATTACATTAAGCTTTTTCATGATAAATATGAAAAAAAAAGATGTACTTTCTAACAAAATTATAGACTAATGGCCAGATCACATTGAAACACTACTTCTTGTAAAATCACCAAAGTTAAGCAATGTTGAGCCTGGTCAGTACCTAGATGGGTGACCACTTGGGAATACCAGGTGCTGTAAGCTTGGGTGTACAGGTGGTGTAATGGAAAATGGCTTGGAATTGGAAATCATATAACCAAGTTCCAATTCCAGTCAGGTTCATTATACTCACATGTGTAAATACCCTTGGGAAAAATATGAATCCACCCCTTTTCCCCTAGATATGGGATAATTAGTAGGACATGTATCAGTAAATCATTATTTTCCCCCCACAAAAAATTCTTACAATCTAAAAATATTTTCTGGCTTTAAATAACCTGCAAAAAGTTGATAAGCAAAAAAAAAAACAGTCAATGAAATACAAAATCAAAATGAACATAGCAAAATTAATTTTTTTAATCAAATAAAAAAAATATTAAAAAATTGAGTATCATCTGTGGAATATTGATATCTAGTGTTTAGTCTAACTATAATTTAACACCAAAATAAAATCCATTACATTTTCCAGAATTATTTGCAATTGTGTTTATGTACCATACTTTTTCAGACTAAAATTAATGGTGTCAGTTGTATACAAATCAGAAAGCTACTGTTTTAATTTATATCATTTAATTATATATAAACTTTTGCTAACATTATATATTCAAAAACATTTTCATTAAAAATAAATACCGAGGATAGAAAAAAAATTAAGCTTTTAAACAGAGCAACTTTCGAAATGATTGTATGACATCATTTATAACTGTCTGAATAACAAGAGTATTTATACAAATTTTGAATATATCTCTCATAAATTTCCTGCATTTATTTTTAGTTCATTAAAACCAAAAATGAAATTATGAGTGCTGTTAGTTATAAAATTTGTGTCTTGCAGACTTTATCACTTTTGATATGAAAGATTTTATTCTGATTTTTAGTAAAGCTTATTTATTTAAGGGGAAAAGCCTTCTTAAACTTTCCCATGAGTGGCAGGTATTGAATTTTATTAATCCTAGTTCATTGCCTTAACTACTGAACAGAAAGTAATTCCAACTAAATACTTTCAGTTCAGAAAATATTAAAACTGCCTTGCATGGAAATTCTCAGTCTATTATTCATTGTACAAGTAAAAATATTTTGTTTCTTTATCATGAAATTTTTCCCTACTTGTTAATTAGAAACAACTTAAAAATTGTAAATCAATTAGAATTTCTAGAAAGAAAGAACTTTACCCCATTTTGCCTGTTGTTTTTCTAGTTAAAGACTAAAATAATTAGAAATGGTGAGCGAGTGTGTGGGGGGGGATTCAAAAATAATTCTGATAATGTCATGAAATGGTGGATTGTGCCATCAATGAGCCAGCATCACGACAGTTTTACTTGTCAATTTCTGTTTATGTTCGTATGTGTGTGTTTTAATATCAAAGAGATTCTTTCTTGGTCAATTCAGCCATAATCATCAGGGACGTCTTAATCTTCTTGGGTTTTTTATGACCTATTCAGCATTTGTCAGATGCAGAATATGTCTTTGACTTGTCATATCTCCTCAATTCCAGAAAGTTAATCAACTTTTAGTCAGCGAATAAAATGCAGTAAATCAATTTGCTCAGCTGTCAAATTAGACAGTAAAGACATGACTTGGATCACAAAGAACCGAATATTAAATCTTCCATAATCTAAAGGGGAGATGGTCAAACAGAACAAGAAAGATGATGGTGACTTCAAATTCTTTTTAGCTATTTATGGCATCTTCAGTGACCTGATAAATATTAATTGTTCATCATGAAGTATAACAATGGAAAATTTACCACCTCATGTTATGTGTGTGTTTTATTTTTTGATATCTTACATATTTGGTATCATGAGAATAAACAAATTGTTATCAAGATCTTGACAAGCAGCAATTTGACTTCAAAATCTTATATGTTGTTGTACATGATGAATTTAAAAAAAAAAAAAGAGAAGATTCCCAAGTTTACTGTTTTTTATATATGGAAAGAAGATTACAAGAGATAGTGCCCTATTTCTGGAGGTCAAAAGAGGGATGGTGCTTGGCTGAATGGCTTTTGGAAAAGTTTATAGCATCATAAGAAGTCACAAGTCAACAATCTAAAAGAAAGTTGTTTAATGAATAAGTTCTACTAGTGATGACTTATGGAAGTGAGACATAGGTGCTCAACACCACCACTGCAGAGACTCTTACAGTAGCCCAATGTAAAATTGAGTGAATCATGCTTGGCATCACCTTACATGAGAAAGAGCAACACCTGGATTTGACAGCAGACTGAAATGAAGAACATGATCAAAATCATCAAGTAGGGTGAAGATAGATGGGCTGGTCATGGCTGTTTTCTCAGATGACAAGTTCACTATTAGAGCGACAGAATAGATACCAAGGCAGTAGCAAGAACTAGAGTACAGTCAGGGGCAAGATGACAAGATGATTTAACCCAATACCTTGGCCCTACATGACCCAATATGGCCAAAGATAGGAAGGAGGTTTGAGGTCAATCAAGAAGGGGTGGGGTCTTCCAGCAGGGGAGAGAGGGCATACTGAAGGCCAGCATCAAATTAACCTAGCATTAAAAGTAGCAAATTCTATGTTCCCAAAATTAAATACTTTCAATGCTGTTTGGTGAAATTTGCATCTTGTGTAAATATTAACACTGCAAACCATTTCTCAGAATCCTTTACACTTATTTCTTTCCTGTTTTATATCATTGTTTTCATTCCCCAACAAAATCCATTGCAAAAATATCAGACCTTCTGTGATATTGCTATACAATGTAATATAAACAAAAATGAAAAAAATTGATTTGTGGATAGGAGTAATTTTTTTTTTTTTAATATATCGTGTAAAAGAATTTCTAAAATGCATTCTATTGCTTGTATATTTGTGTGCTAACTACAGATATATATGTGAAAATTGACAGTGAGCAAGCATTACAAATATACAAACATATCTAATCATCTGGAAAAAAATACATATTTCATTTTTTGTAAAAATCCTTAACATTGAATAATGTTAATCGCAAAGATTTTAAATTATTTTTGAGGGCCTCTTTGTCATCACTATTTGGATGTTGTAAAAGCAAAGAATCTTGGTTTCATTAGAAATCTAAAATGTTAGTTCATTTCAAAAGCAAATGTGTTTTTTCAAATATAAAAATCCATGCTATGTTACATTGATCTATTTGTTAAAATAACTTTACCATAAAGAAATAGTTTTAGAAATATTTCTGCATAAATCTGTACAGAAATCAGTTGTTTAGGTCAGTTAATGAAATCCAAAGTAAACACTTGCTCTTTCAATTACATTAGTCAAACATTTATCCTCACTAAAATATTTTTCTTTTCTTACTCATATCAGTGAACAGATTGTTTCTACCCCCGCACCATGTACTCATTTCTACCTCAGCTTCTACTGAACATTTTCATATCCAGAAACTGACATCACTTCATTAAGTCACCAATTGAAATAAAACATTCTTCTTTCAAAACTATAATTTTGCATTGAGCTTTCTTTTCTCCTTTTTTTGGTGGGGTCAGGTTGAGAATTTTTCAGCACTCTTCCATATTTCCCTTTATAATAAAATCCAGGTGATGTTTTCCTTTTTTTTTTTTAGAAACCTGTCACTTCCTTTCCTATCACAACTGTTGAAATCCCTTTTCATTTCTCATATTAACTAAAATGATAACCATCAATTTTCTATTGCTTCAGATCAATACAAAATTGAATGAATATCATTAACATTTATGGTAAAAGCATTTGAAATTAACAGTCTAAAAAACAGTGTTAATTAATTTAAGATTGTTCATCATCAACAGTCGCTTATTCCATTTGTTGCAGACTGCACATCAACATGTGATATTCTTCTCCACAATGTTTGATCACCAACAGCAGAGTTTAAAAAGTAAAGGTTAAGTCCAGTCCATAAGTGGACATTATCAAGCCAGCACTTTGGCTGTTAACCTTTGCTTCCCTTACTGACTAACTTTCCTTCTAGGCATAACTTACACCATGAGTTGATCTTTTGATCATACAGTTTAAGTACTCTTGACTTGATAACTGATGTGATTGGCTAAAGCTTTTGTATTTGATAAGAAATAGGTAAAAATATATAACTTGAATTAGTATTAACTTCATTTCTGCGATTAAAGTATAATCAAAGATTTTGTCTAACAGTTTATGGTAGATTTGTCTTGAAGGCAAAAAACTAGATCTAAATTTATATAAAAAAAACTGCAGTTAATTTTATGAGGAGTTTTGTTTTTAGCGTGCATAGATATTTACTAAGCTTACCTTAGTTTGCAGGGGTTCCCTGTGAGGATTGAATTCCCTCCATAAGCAAACTTGCTTGATCATCTTTAATCTGGGACAAGTACCTTAGTTTGTTTTGTTTTTAATTTAATAGAAGACTCTTGTGAGAAAACTGATTTTTCAAATAACAGTTCAATCCATTCTTTTAAATAAATGGTTCAGAAGTAAGATTTTGGACGCAATATTTTACCATTGCTAAAATAACCTTATGTTCTGTTACAAAGTATTTTCCATTTCTTTTACCTATGCTGAATATATATTATATATATATATATATATATATATATATATTATTTTACAAATGTAACTTAACATTAGGAATCAAACTCATGTCAGAATCTAATTGTATAAAAGATATCAATTTTCAGTAAAAATGATTTCTATTTAGAAAAAAAAATTGTTAAATCGAATAAGCAATTTTTATTTTTTATTTTTTTTACACTTTTCTTTCTTGTTGTCTCTTTAATGTTTTAAAGACAATACTATTTACTTCAAGCTTTCCCTTCCTTAAATATTAAATTTTATTTTCTCTTAGTATCTGGAGTTAACTGTTTACTTCAATAAATGTCAATTTTGTAATAAGAATAGTTCAGAAATTGCTAGAAACTTGTATCTAACGTCCTTTTCATTCAAAATGATGACTTTCAATTTTTATTGGATTATTGTTCTCAAGACACTAAAAATGTTTCTGGGATGTGTTATTATTTATACTACTTACATATGGGCTATTGTCCTTGTCTTTGTTGTTGTTATCACAATATTTCAACTGTTGTGCCCTCTGGCCTTCTTCTGGGGTATGCCTATCCTGGTAATTTACATAGAATTTTGAACTGAACCCTTTATTTAATCTACGAGGGTAGACTGTTCACATTCCACTGCTCATGTCTAGGAATAGCTCATCTAGCTCTTATTCTTAGCAATGCTCAGTTATTCCTTGTCAGTTACCTAGATCAACATACACCTGATACAGGTCAGAGGGCACAACAGCCAAAATGTTGTGATAACAACTACAAAGATGAGGACAATAGTACACATGTAAATACTAAAAATGTTATCCTCAAAACAGATAAGTTAGAAAATGGCCAAGACATAACGTGGCACAATTGCATCCCTGAACAGAACTCAAACGACATTTTGGTTAATGATTATTCTCAAAAAACAATTAATTAAAAAAGATTTAAACAATAAAATTTTATCAAGAATTCATGAAATACATCTTACAAAAGTTGAAATTGACAATGTACATATTTTAGTTTCAATTAGTGAATTATAAGGAAACAGAAAGATATTCTGCACTTCCTGACAAAATGTTTTTACAGGCTGAATCCTTGTGAATATTAACAATTTATTTATTTATCCAAGGATCAAATGTCTTTATCAGCAGCTATCTGAAATACCCAAATTATGAAAATAATAAATTTTGTTTGAATTTTTTTTCATTTAACTTAATTTTATTATTCAGAACAATTTTCTAGTTACAAATTGAACCTGGTATAACATTTTTTGCAAACAATATTGGACATATGAAAGAACTTTTGTCTTACCACTTTAAACCTTTTTGATTGCACATATTTAAATAGTTTTGTGCAAGAAAATGATTAATTTTTTTTAGAAAACTATGCTCTTTACCTTCAATATTTTCTTTAAAATAAAATAGAAATCAAATTTAACTCAAAAACAATATTTAAGTATTATCATTTTTTAAAAATTAAGTTTTATTTTTTACTGAATAAAATCCACATTTTTTAATTATTTTAGGAAGTAAACAATATCCTGTTCCAAATAATTTTTACTGTAATAATATTAATGTTTCCTCATTTGACAATGCTATAAACAAATTCCAAGCCCTAATTATTGCCAACTAGCCTCCTTGAAATTCATGACACTCCTTTATTCAAAGACTTTTTATCCCTTTCAGTTCACTTATGATCATTTTTTTTTTATTCCTCTACACATAATACCTGCTTAAAATCACTTTTATTGCTATACTTTTTAATTTTAGAGATCTGTCCCTGCTATTTGTTCTTCTGTGAACATTAGCAAAAACATTTTTATAAGATGAAAATAAAGAGTAAGAAAGATTTCGTTCATGATTTAATGTGGTTCTGTTTATTTTCCAGGGTAAAATCAAGATGATCATGTAAGAATGAAGGCAGAGAAAAATCATTAGAAGCAAACAATTCCTACAGAAAATGGAAGAGTAAAATGGCTGATAATAAATCATAAGAGATTCACCCATATTGATTGATAGGATTTAGAAGAAAATCAATCAGAAATGGAGGGAAACAGATGTGGGTGACTAAATATCTAAGGACCATTAAAAAGAAAAAAAAAAGAAAAAAAACTGTTACCAAAAGAGTTAAAGCTGTCAGCCATTTACTGACAGTCAATGTTTCTTTCTCTTGGAGATTTATGTGAAGTATCTTGCAAGGAAAATGGGTGGGACATGAAAAATATTCACCCTCTCACTGTATTATTATTATTATTATTATTATTATTATTACTATTATAATTATTCACCTGTTCTACTTATTGCTGCTATTAATACTGCTATTGTTGCGACTGTACAGCACAGACACATACAATACTCAGCATTGTATAGTAGTAGTATTAGTAGTAGTGTTGATGGTCATAAATTATGGTATTTATTTTATAAAGTGCAAATATATCTTCTCCCTATTGTGGGTTGTGGTTAAGAGAAAAAAAAAATCAAAACAAAATCAAAAGAATGAGGGAATGCTTGATCATATTTTTTCCATTTGGTTACATGCTTCTTTTTGTTTATGGAATATTTCTATCTCACTAACGGCTGTGATACAATTGTTTTCTCTGTCCCCCACTTTCCTTTTGTATGGGTAATGTATCTGCTTAACCTGGTTGTCTTCATGTGATTTATTCACTGTTCTAGGGTCAGCCACATTTCTGATAATTCTCACCAGACATAAAAAAAAGGTTTTTAATCTTTAAGTGGGGAAAATAAGCTAGCATGTTTTTCTCATTTAAAAAATATTTTAAATGGAAAAATTTAATTAAGTCGTATGATCTTGTTCTGCTTTTTAGTCTCTTCCTTAAAAAAAATAATTTTTATTATTATTTAGAAAAGTTGTTAAAAATGAAATGATACCAAAATCAGTATTTTTCCATCAATTCTTTAATTCACAAGTAAATCAACTCAGCATAAAAATGGTCTCATTTTTTGCAGATGTTTCTACAGTTGTATAATTTATTAAATATCAAACTGTTTTGGCAAATCCTAAAACAAATGATTTTAAAACTCATTTTTTATAATGATTTCTTTACCATTTTTTGTAACTAAATAACCAGTAATTATTTCAACATAATTTTTATTTTCTTTGTAAAGGATTGTTATAGTTTTTCTTAATTCTTTCACTTTATAGTTTCATTTATTTAGAATACAAAATAGTGGAAAATATCCCAAAATGGACAAATATTTATTATTGGCTTAATCAAAAAAAAAAAAAAATTAGTTTTGTTTTATAAGAACCTCAAGAAATACACTGAATATTAAATGGACAAAATAAAAAAAATATGTCTCTGGTCAACAATTATTCTTGGGAAATTCACGGAATGTACAGAAAAGTCATCTACTATCAAAATCTTTTCTTTTGTCATAGAGTATAATAACTGCTAGAGATACTTTCAAATACTTGCCCTTGCTTTTAGTTATTGATCATCATATATAGTTGTATTTCTCTAGTATGACAGCATTTATAGTTTCATGTAGTTTTGCTTTAATATATGCTCATATCTTTTGCATTCTATCAGATTAATTTTATCCCTTACTAAATAGTTTTGTATGCTCTAGTTTTCAATCTATAAAATCATTATTAATTATAGCTTGTAAGTTATAACTATTAACAGTATGACCTTTAATGATAATACTCTGAGCTAAAAACCTCGCATCTTGAAATAGCACTTTTTTAATAACTACACGCTGAAATTGATGATTTTTCTACAGTGAAAATGAAAATTATCAAAAATGCTATTCAACCTAAAATTTATTTATTGTTTATTGTTATTGCTGATAAGTTTTATATTTAAGTTGGAATGACAATCCTCAATATTTAAATTTTAAAATTTGTTTTATTATATTTATGAGGAAAATATTTTATATTTTAAAATTTATTTTAGTATATTTATGAGGAAAATAGAAAATATTTCAAACTATCAAAGCCAACATAATTGAGATGTTTTCCTAATTCAGTGTCTTTTTTGTTTGTTGTCTGTTATTAAATGAAATAATAAATATGCTGAAAATATGGCAAGGAAGCTAAAAATGTAAATAACTAAGTAAAATAATTTTTAACTTGCATAATTAGAGTTATTTAAGGAGAAAAATGGTTTTAGAAATTAAAAAAAAATTAAAAGATGGAAACTTTTAACAGTAAACTCATTTTTTTAAAATTTTATTTAGATTTCTTTAAAAAAATCTTCCAAAAGAAAATTACTTTGATAAATATTTTCATCCTTTTATTCATCCACTTGTGGAAAAGTTAGATTTTTTTTATCCTGCTCAATCATTTTTTGTGAATGGACAGAGTTCATAATTTCTTGAATCAAAATGCTTTTCTACATATTTTAGATGCAAATTCATGTGAGGATTTTTTTTAAGTTTTAGAAAGAGCAATTATTGTATATACTTTGTTCCTTAGATTCAATTTATGTTGTTACCAGGCTCAGTATAGCATTGAGAATTTAAATCAACTGCTACCTTTTTTAATTGAATATAGTTGTATCTTTGCTGACTGCATTTTTGTTGTCATAGAGAGTTGGGATGGATGGGGATCTGTCAAATTTGTATATGTGAAAATATACATAAGTTTATAAACATTTTTAATAGAACTTTTAAAAAACTAATTTTGATTTTCAAGTTTGAATTCATTTGTAGAATTTTTTAAAACTTTTTTTTTAAATTTATCTCTAAAATCATTACTAATGAAATTACATTCCATAAAATAAATTACAATGTAAATATAGAAACAAACTGGTTTGTTGATTTTTTTTAAAAATCTAGCAAGAAGAACCTTCTTTATGTATCAAGAAAATTTGTTAACAACTTTTTAATCACTAAAATTTTGAAAATTAAAATAAAAAAATGTCTTTCTTTTATGAGAAGACTGAAAGTGCCATATTGTTGAAAGTTAATTTCTATCCAAATGTTGTTAGAATTTTCCTCTAAGTTCCTAACTAGAAGAAAAAATTAGACATTTAATTTATCCTTTTATATTTAAGCAAAATAAAAAAAATTGCAAACAACATTTACGTTATTTAATATAAATTCATTGGCTAAAGATTAAGTTTTTAATATTTTTAACCAATTTTTATTCAAACTAATTACATATGTGTTAGTCAAAATTTGACATTTTTTATAACACATTTTATATTTCCATCCTAGAATTCAAGTGGAGCTCAGAAGGTGAGGCACAATGTTTGGTACAGATTCATTTCCAACTTATTTCTTCCATATATAAATAAATACACAAATGTGTGTATGTATCATGTTATTTGGAATCTAAATGTTGTTTGTATTTGGTATTTTGAATGATTGTCCATTTTTCAAATTTTCATTGATGCTACTTGCATGCATGAGTCTGTGTTTCTTCAACATATTGACATCTTTAAGGCCATTGCCTTTCCAGTTTTACCTATTGGAGCCATTTTAGTTTTTCTTATGTGCATAGGAATTTTATAAACACCTGAAAGCTCTGAGGGTGGGAGCTCTGTAAAAACTAGGGACAAGTTCATTATTCAAAAATTTAAAGAATTTGATAAAAGAGTAACCTGATTAAAGAAAAAAAAAAGAATTTTCATTTAGTCATTTTTCCTTTTCAAGTTATTATTGATTTTCTTTGACAAATTTTGGCTATTATAGTTCTTTACAGATTGCTTTGATATCACAAAAATCTATTTTTATTGTCTTGACCATATGAGGTGACATCAGGAAGTTTCCAGAGAGGCTAAGCCTAAAAAATTATATTATTACTCCAATAAATATTTCAAATATTGCTTGAAACATGTCCTTATGATTGAGTTTATGTTTTCCACATTTTCTGACATTTTGCTCATCATCTTGAAGCAACATTTGACTGACCTTGAAATGCACATAACACTAAAAAGCTTGGTGTTCAATCCAAACAATATTTGCCAAAAGCATGTCTAAGCATTTTTAAGGATCTCAGTAGCAAATTTGATGAAAGTACATTGCTAAAATTTATCAAGCATTGTAAAAATCAGTACTATTCCAATCCAGCATTCCAAAAAACTCATGTAAATAATTGAACATGATAACACAAATCATATTGGCAGATGGACTTGGATATCAAGGAACATTAGATGTATGTGCATTTTTATTGAATGGTACAATTGTAGCATGTACAGTCTGTGAACTTTTCAGCACCTCATTGTGGCTTAACAGTTCAGTGCTAATAATGCCACAGACAGTTGAAGTTTGAAACTGAAAAATTTCCATAATGTAATTAACAAATAAAATTAACGACTTTCACCTTGTAGATATAAGGAAGCACAGTCAATAGTAGAAAAGCACAAAACTATTAAGCTTTCTTCATGGCATAGTATTTTTGATTCAAACTAAATTTATTCTTATTTTCTATTGTATGATATTAGAAAATATTGATTACTTAAAGTTTCTTGCTAATTTTTTATACCAACTTCAATTTTATTCAGATTTTAAGAACAAATGCTAGTTTGTAGAAAGGCAAAAAAAAAAAGTTTTACTGTTCATGCCTTTGGTTGACCTCTTTACCTCTAATTTTTTTAAAAATTTCTTTTACATTACATGGAGGAGAATCTTTTGTTACTATCATGATTTTCATAAGATTAGTATTATTTTTTCAAGAAAATTTCTATTTATTTTTAAACTCCTAAAGGCAATTACTGAGTTATTTATTCAACATGTATTAAAGAAGGGAAAATCTCCTATCCCCAAAATAAATGAGCTTTGTTCCTAAATTCTCAAAGTCTTAGTGAGTGTAAATGTTATACAAAAGGGAACAAATGTTTTCTATGTGCATTTAAAAACATCTGCTTGTGATATACAAATAAATAAAATGCTGTTTTTTGAAAATGCAACAATAATGCATGTAAATATGTTGTATGTTTTCCC